CCCTCTTCTTTGTAACGAAAAATTTCACCTACTCTAACACCTTTTGAAAATGCACTGCTAATTATCACACAATTATTCATACCTGAAAGTACTTTCAACTGCATTGAATCCCCCCAGAAGGAAGAAGAATGATAGTCGTGTTTGCAGGCCCACCTACAGCTATACGTCCCCTCATCAGCATAAGCAATGTTAAAAATGGTGATCATTAAAACTCTTTTGCATTTTGTCTTGGTTTTCCTTTCTTGAATTTCATACTTCTCACCGGACTTTAAGGGCCTCTCGAAAAAACGCCACTGTAATTCGTTCTTGATACATTCGGTTGGTCTTATTTTAGCCAGGCATTTTAAGCTGACGTTGTTAAAGCCTGTCACCGAAACTTGGCGAGGAGAGATATCCAGGTGATTTCTAGACACACCTATATTCGAAAATGTGAAAAATATTATAAACAAATAATGTTTTTAATCAAATCATTGCTGCGTTGCACTTGTGCAGCGTCAGTACAGCCCTATTTCCAGTCCCTCCCATACTGAGTCCTGAGTATTTGTGACAATACAAATGTGGCAAATGGCAAATGGGGCATCACGATGATCATGCTTTTTTACTTTTCGATTGCAGCTGTCCGTCTACTTTTCTCTTTTACGCCTTCTCTCCTGTTCTCTTCAGTAACACGCCGTCCTTAATGACCCCTTAGCGAGTGGATGAAAATAATCCTTTAGCAACCGTGGGGTGTTTAATATAGCACTCTTTTAACTGATTGTGTCTGCTAAACAGGTTAAGAACGCAAGGGTGGCTCAGTGGTAACAGCTCTCGCCTCCGACCCATGTGGCCTGTCCTCGATTTCCGGAGGCTACACCATATGTCAGTTTATTTTGCTGTTGTCTCGCCCTTTATCTCTTGTTATTTTCTCTCCTTTAAGACCAACATTGGCAACTTCCAATTTTATTATTGAGAAAGCGGGCGTTTATTAGAGATGGGCGTCTAATATAATTTTAACAGCGTAGAGGGGGCGTTTATTAGATAAGAGGCTTTTATTAAAGGGCGTTTATTAGGTCACGGTATATATGTATTTAGGTATTTACACCTACATCCTCTCAAATTTTGTCTTTTTTGGGGCGATCCCGCACCAATTGGAAAGAATGTTGTTGATTAGCGGGGAAAACAATAGGGATTGTCACATAACAATGCCCCTATCCCTGAAAACAATGGAGGTGCAGATTAAAGGGGATCAGTGAAATAAGAGGTTTAGGGACTGTGCGGTAATCACCTGGGGGGGGGGGGGTTGGGAAATGGGTGAAATATGTCCCCCTCACATAATGATGATATTAAGGCTAACCCACCCCCCCCCCCTCCCCTTGAAAAACGTCTCCTCCCATTGACTCCCTCATACCTAGTTTACTGGTTGGATTTCCTCCTCCGGTACAAACATCACTTCAAATTACTCTTCGACGTATGTCGAAGAGTCATTTGAAGAGTCATCAGAATCACTGAACTCTGAGCTTGTGTCGTCTTCGCATGAATTGGGAGATTCCTTATCTTCTACAGCATCTCTGGCCCTAAGGTTCCCGCGTGCGTGGGCGAGAACTCGATCAATCAACTCAGCCTTGCTTCCACTTATCTTAAGACCTTTTTGCTTTAGATACATTTTCAGCAGCTTGTTGGTAAGCGCCGTTACATCTTTTACCTGTCTTACTTACCATACTTTAAATTTGTATTGCTATTAAAATTTCAACAGTTGGGTTTTTCATTCTCTAAATTATGATGCCATGTGTGCTAACATCTGAAATCAAATTTGCTCTAAAATATTGCTCTAACCCGGTGGTTTTTGAACAACCCGGCCCTGATTGAAAAAAGGGGTCTACGTAAGAGTTTTACTCGCCCTGGTTTATTAGTGGCTTTATTTAAAGTAATCAGATCACTTACAACGATAACGTATTTCAATTATCCCAGTGTTTTCACTCGACCATCCAGTAATGTTGTTCATTCCTGTGCATTTATAAGCCCCTGCGTGTTTTTCTTGGATATTAGGATTTCGAAGAACAGAAGATAAGGTGTCCTCTCCAAACAGCTGCTCGTAGAGATAAAAGCTTTCAGTTCCGTTGATGATTAGTTTACTATCTAGATTGTACCAAGCAATACGAGGACGAGGCCGTCCCTTAAAGACACACTGAAGTTCCATTAGCGTATCAGGATAGTAATCCACTGGAGAGCTTGTCTTAAATACTCTCTGAACTGGAACTGAAAAGCAATTTTCCGTCTTACTTTCCAAGCTGATGAGTCATCCACTCAGTTAGTTTTAAGATACACTGATCTCTCTTTTTTAAGTGACACTTTCCTAAAACAAACTCACTAATGCTTTACTGCAGTTCATATGTTGATTTTAAATTAGGGACTCAGTGAAGTGCGTTCTTTAACGTTGAAGGTGATTCAGCCGGACGAAACTTCAACCGCTTTATGATATCACTCTAACCGTAAGGGCTGCCGTTACCATGCAATAGGTCAGTGTAAAACGCGGACTGCGGACTGCAGACTGCGGACCAGGGGTAAAATGCAGACTGAGTGTAAAATGCAGACTACAGACTGAGAGTAAAACGCAGGCTGGGGTAAAATGCAGACCGAGCATAAACTGTAGCCGCAGAAGGGTTTAAGGGCAAATAAAATTCCGCAAAATACATGTAAACAAACACTTCCTTGACGACATATATCTGCTTTCAAAAATCCATTCATTCTTCTCTGGAACTTCGTCGACGACCCAAAAACATAATCGCAGTCTTGAACCTTTTTTTTTCGTCCGAGCATGGATAATTAATAGATAGACTTTACTTTCCATTATCCATTGTCCGAGAGACCTCACGCTCCAGTTTTCGATACACATGACTGTGAATTGGTACAACACGATGTTTACGCTGACCCAAAATACTGTACAGAAAGAATTATGGCGATAAAAATGGGAGTAAATCATTCCAACGACAAACAAAGATGCTCTGCAGGAAATTTGGATGACCCTCTATGAAAGTATTGCAAATCAAAGTAGGCGGATGTAAGCTGTTCGGACGTTCATTGAAACTTCTGGCGAATGTAGCGAATGTGCAATGTACTTCGACAAGGAAGCGAGGTGTGTAACTGATACCAGCTAGCTAATTCACCTAGCCTGCAAAGCAGGCGTATTTTGCTGTGCGATTGATTTGGACTTTTGACTGACCGAGCGTTGGGGCGAGTCAAAAAATGATTCAATACAATAAAACGCCTGCTCTGAGGCTATAGTTCACCTATTTGGAGAAGAAGGAGCACAAGTATTTAAAAAGTCTGCAGTCGATCTTAATTCTGCATTTTACCCTAGCCTGCATTTTACTCTTAGTCTGCAGTCTGCATTTTACACTCAGTCTGCATTTTACCCCTGGTCCGCAGTCTGCAGTCTGCAGTCCGCAGTCTGCGTTTTACACTGACCGCCATGCAATTAAATCTCCGCAAGCCACCTACAAGGTCTTCAGGGATAATTAATAATGCAATATGTAAAAAGAAGACAACAAAATTATCCATCATGATGTTTTTATGTAAACCATGAATTACAAAAGAGGAAAAAGGAGAAAATGCTCACTAGCGTATTTTATAAGAAAAACATCCACGTGACTTATTTACATCCGTCGAATAATTTTGTAGTAAGTGTACACCTTTACTGGCCCGGAGGTTTCTTCAACGCCCTGGCAGGTCAAATCTTGCACATTTCCACCAGTCTTAATCGAGCATTTTAGAGTCACTTTAGAGTCTTTCGGCGTTACTGTTATCGTCTGAAAGGGGGGTTGACAAGTCTGCGCGGTTATTTCACAGTTCATGCCTAAATGACTGCGTCCCAGCATAAACGGCCGTGTCTTTCAATAGTTTAACAGACTAACCCTAACCTATTTACGCGCTCAACCTTTTTTTCCAAAGCTATAAAGCAATAATTTGAACATAATTAAGGAATCCGTTTTGTTATAATTGTAATATTTATTTAGCTTAAATCAGCTGGTCGTGACTTTAAATCTTATGTTAAAGGAGAAGGAGAAAAGACCAAATAATAAGAGGGAGGATGAAGTAAAAACCTTCAAAATAGGGAAGAGGGAAGACGCAATCTGGAAAGAGAGAAGGGCAAAAATCATCAATGATAGATTGTATATGATACACGACTCGCATTGGGATGAAACTTCACTTTGAATTTCGATTGGATTGTTTATATACTTTTCAAATGTTTTCTCAGAGGAGTTTGTTCTTAGTAACTGTGGAACACTGCCCTATGTAAATTCTTTCTTCTATCCTGGAGGTTGGTATGAAGAGAAATGCACGTATGGTAAAGTGTTTGTTGGTTTGGTTTGAAGTGAGCACGCACATTTAGGATTAATTCTTTTTTCTATTTTCCTCCTCTCCTAGGATATTCGTTTCTAGAAAAACTTTTTTCTGTCTCAGATATTTCAGCAATAAATTTTATATGCGGTTAATTATTAAGTTCAATGAATAGGGGGATGTTCAAATTTGGTACCGAGAAATAGATAGGGCTGAGCTACCGGCCCAAAATGGCATTGTGTACATGTTTGCTCAATTTCGCCCATATTTGCTCAGTTTCGCCCATATTTGCTCAGTTTCGTCCTGCCAGACGTCATTGGAAAAGGAGTGTAGAAGAGGATACAAAACAGTACATTGTCTCGGAGCGAAAGAGAAGATGTGGACCCGGTGCCCATTAGTTCCAGAGAACTAGGTCACGACCTCGCACGCCGTGGGCACTGGCACCCTGCCCGAATTCTTAGCGTGGGTATATGAACAAAGACTGTAATCACATTACTGCCCAGAGAGTACCGTGCTTAGGCACAGTGCCCGAACACCAACTCTGAACGCCGCCTAATTCTACCATCTTTATTCGACAATACGTTTAAAGTAGTATTCAACATGAGTGCGGTATATGTAGAAAAGGGCATCACCCTCAAACAGAATCAGTTTGAGGAGTTAAAACGTGGGGGAAATGATGTAAATGGGCTGGTTGAGAGGACTGATGCCCGAGGCGACCGAGGCAACAATGGTGATAGCGAAGGTAATGATAAACTTAAGAAAAGTTACTTGGTCGTTGTAATGTACCTGTAAAGAGATTTGGATGCAGGCAAGTTAAAGGACCTTCCAGGCACCGTTATTTCTTTTAGAACAAGGGACAATTAAACGCCTAAAGGCCTGCATAGAAATTGCTATGTGTAGACATTCCACATATGTCACCTGCTTATGACTGGGAATCTAATGAGAACCAGGAACTTGCCATTGAAACGTTGCGTTCAGTATCGCTTAGTGGCTAGTCCGTAGGTGCAGTCGACACTCGACACTCCGCCGACAAGAATGTCTTCAAAACATTGCCAATAGAGAGGAGAAGTCGTTACGTCACCCTGCCATGGTAGCAACATTTCTGGATCTCAACAAACAGTCCCGGTCCTGCTAATATAGCGGAGAAAAACTAAAAAATTGACATGTATGAATTACCGGTGCATGATTGCACTCAGGAACAAAACGGTAGCCCATACTTTTCCTCTATCGTTCGACAATGCAAATGACCGTCTTTCTCAAGAAAGATTGTTGAGATCCAGAAATTTTGCTACCATGGTAACTTGACGTCACGGTTTCTCCTAATTCTTGGCTGAGTTTCATGATGTGAACCAGTTTTTTTGCAGACTGTCAAGCAGTGGGTGTGCGAGACAATCCTTCTTTGTCTACTCTTGCCCGGCAGATCTTTAAATTTGGCTGTTTCGTCTCTCCTGTTCATTTGATATAATGCAACCATTTTTGCGTACACCATGCAACTGTACTCTTTTGCCCAATAACTGTTACTAATTGGACGATTGACGTAATTCTTCGAGAACTAACCCATTCTCTGTTTGTCAGCATCATTTCGTTTTGTTTTGTGCTGTATTGTAAATGAACGCTAAGCTATGCACATTCTGACTAGACCATCTTACAATTTCATGTCCCAACTCGACATAGGCTATCTTATACATATTTTATTCCAGCTATAGGCTGTAGGCTATTTGTCAGTCAATCAATCACCCAATCACAGGACAGGATTTACTTAATAACAAAAAAAATAAAAAAATTAAGAACGAATGTCGCTAAGGATTGAGCAAAATTGGAAATGGTTAAACAAACCCTTTCCTAATACTTTGTGTGTAGTTAGTACTTCAGATGAGACTACTCACTGTGACATTTGTTTGACTTCTAACAAAAACCTGCACTGGGCATCAGGGGAAGATGTTTGGACCAAAAATTACATTTTTTGGAACAATTTTCTTCTTGAAAATTGGAGTTTTGTTAGGTAAATATTTCAGAAAGCAGACTAACAGCAAGAAATCTGTTTACATGATAGCAAAATGTCATCCTTCCTCTCAATAAACACGTTAAACGTGCATGAGCTATTTTGAATGCTTCAGTGTAACTTTAATGCTTCAGCAAGAGAGAATGAAAGAGCGAATACCCCATACATGACCCTATTTCCGTGAAAATTATTTTCAATCTATTCTTGGTTCTATGTGATACTGCGTGGTTATTTTAAGGACGCCACCTTATTGGTCGGTTAGAGTAGCGTCATGTAATTTTAAACTTGGTGGGTAATTCTTTTCACTGCCGATCACGCACAGCAAGCGATATGACGTACAAACTTAGTATTACTTTCGCCGACGAGTCAAAAGAGTTCTATGTGGAAAAATCTGGCCAGAGTAGCTGCCGAAGAGCAAAACGGTCCTGGCTTGTGGAAGTTCGTTGGAGACAGCGGTTCCGAAAATTGCCAATTGAGGTCTTCGGTACATCAGTATAAACACATTGTATAAAAACGACAACTGTCTCTTCCGGCGACATCCACGCACACCCGCGAGCTGTTATACCGTCGTTTGGATCCAACCGTGGACACGTAACGAGAAAATAGGTTCAAAGTGGGTTCAAACATGAATTTTTGGCTGCCAAACATTTGAATTTTGAGAGGGCGCTTGACAAATGTGAGCACACCGCTCACTATAAAGAATTGACCGAAACCGGAAACCTCGCATAAAAAGTCTGGTATAGATTGTTTACAGGATTAACAATACTCGGTACAGCTTTAAAAAATAAGCTGCCTTTCAAACTTTTAAAACTACATTTTATAGGCCAGCATTCTTTCGAATTGTAGTCCATATCTAAATATCAATTATTGCTTTACTGGAAGAGCTTTGAAAATACATAATCTTTTATACTCTACCTTGAAGCAGGTGAAATACAACTCATAAATACGTGCGTCAGTACCGTTCGCGATAGCCGAATTCGGTCAGAAATGTCTTGAAGTAGCATCCACACTAAAATATGAACCCTTAAACAGTTGCATCGCTGTACACAGCGTTTGAATCATGAAGATATTTAATATAATGTTTCCAAACACCTGCAGCCGTAATAAAAGACGAAAAGATTGTGAAGAATCAAGATGACGGTCTCAAAGTGCACTTGTTCGACCTTTAGCAATGTCATGTTTAAGTAGATGCCAAGTTCTCATTGGTTCCTAAGCATCAACTCATAGTACCTTCAACCTTATTGGCTCTTGCAACAAACATCCGCACATACAAAGATACAGAGCCACAAAGATACATACGCTCACACCACTGACATATGAGCTATTCAATACAGCTCAAAAATGTTATTAATTTCTCTCTAGGCCTCCCCCTGATAGCCCCTGTTCATCCATACGAGAGGGGGACGTTTTTTGACGATGCTTAAAATAGACACTTTTGAACACATTTTTTTCTTACTAGCACTCCGATTTAGATCAAAATTGAAACAGGATGTAAATATTTCACCCTTTGTAAACCATTTCATGCTTAAAAATTCGCGGGCACTTGATACATTTTTGCATGCCAATCAAATAAAAATGTATACCTGAGACAATTTTCGTAACTTTTCTTCGCCGCTGTCTTTCTTTTAAATAATTTAATTGGGGCGATGTTAAGCAAGAACGTTGGATGGTTCCTATAGATTGCATTCCTTTACGTTTTACAGTCAGTTGTCGAGCGGATTAACGATTTTTGGTTTACAAAAACAGGCATGGTGTAGTTGGCGGTTAATTTATGCAAATTACTACCCGCGTTATAACTTGGCAGGAAAATCTAATTCGACGTTTTCCAGCAAAATAAATCGCTTCGATGGGATCATTAATAGATAACTGACACATTACATACATTAACAAAGCAATCAATGCGAGAAACATTTCAGAGCCAAAGTCAAATCTCTCACAAGTCAAGGATAGATCTCATCCATACTTGTTGCGTTGAAACTCTTTCGTTCATCTTCCCGTCTTCAATGCACACCTCTAAGTTTCCTTTCACTTTGACAACCTACCAATTTACTGCAGCTGCTTATAGGAAGACGTAATTTTCTTCACCGCGGAAGAAAATGTAGAAAATGGTGTTCTGTTAGATTGTCTTGCAATTTTCCAGCAGACTGTTCAAGGTAATGAAACACGTCTTAGTCACACAATGTGTCACGTCCTAAGCGCTACCCTTGACACCATTATTTTACAATACAGTACCTCTTTCCTCCACTGTACGAATATTAAAATTCATGAAGGTTTTATCAAGTATAATGTCAGAAAAACAGTGAACCCCATTTTAGTTAGACTTAGACTTCTGAAAGTGCTATTTGACCTGTTTGAATTGGACATATTGTTGATCAAAACTCAAAGCCGACTTGAATCCCCGGGGGTACTCCCTAAAATGGCCTTTAGGGAGAGGCTCTACCCGAAAGGGATACCATTTTCAGGCTTTAAGTATATGAGAGGGTTGGGATTTCACTTGTTGAAGTATATGAA